GGCTTTGCGCCTTGATCTGGAGATAAAAAATGGGGGTGGCTGGGACATGTTATGTACGTATGTGTGAGCGTGTAATTGTTGAATGAGTTAACGGCATTGCGCCTTGCTGTAGGGTATCAAAAGGGGGTGATTGGGATATGTATCATTTTGTCACTTAATCAAATTTGCAAACTTGTCAAAAGCGGGGTAGGACTGGTCTTGAATGTGTGCGTGCGTGAGTGTAAATGTGAGCGCCCGGACGCATCAGAGTGACGGACCATTGGGACGAATTTTGGCCTTCATTACGCGAAAGGCGGTAGAACTTTCTTCAAAATGCGTGTGATGCTCAGCTACGTTCGTCTCGGTTACTCCAGCCGGTTGTCTAATATTCAGTTGCAGGGTCAAAGGACGGCACTTTATGTAAAAGCTATTTAGTTTAAAGTTGACATAGGTAATCTGGCACTCTGTTTTGGGGATCGGCTCAGTTCACTATGGTCTATGATTAGTTTAAGTCTAGTTTTTGCTGATCTTTGAAAACTCTGTCGTTTCATTGCTAGTTTCTCTTCCTTCGTTTTGGCTGAATATATCTTGGAAAAGTACTCACATCTGTTGGGGCTATTTGGGAGGAAAACATGAATGGATTAACTTGACGAGATGAAAGTGCTGAAGGAGAGAATGAGAGAATTCGGACTTCGGAGAGAATGGGAGGGCCGAGCAGAACACCGTTTCTGACACCGTTCACACGTCGGCATGTTTTTTTTTACGGAACACAGACACAGGTGGTAAATCACGCTGCATCTTACCCAGTTGTTATTGTCTTTGTAGCCGCTGTTTAATAACTAGAGATCTGATTCGTGACAGTCAAAGACAGGCAATTTGCGTCAGTAGAACTATCAGGTTTTCTTTAGTTGAGAGATCGGAGTTGTCGTAAATCAGCATTATGTGATTTAGTTCGTTTTGACAAGGTGTAAATCAACGTACGACCCAGTATATAATCGATCGCTTTAATGTCCGGTAAACGTTGTTTATTTCTCATTAGCTGCAAGTTAATGTAACGTAATGTTTTCAGCGTTTAGTTAGTCGCGAAACTCCGTGCGTACCTCAATTCATTATAAAGCGTAACTCAGTACTGAGCGGTTCGTGTCATTTCTGGGTCTCAGGCAAGGTTGACATGTGAAACAAAGCCCTTCAAAGCCCTTACCTTGTTGACGATTAACAATTTGTCATTTCCGGCGGGTTGAGTGCCCGAGCTCGAGCAAAAGCCAGTCAAATTTGAGGTAAATTAATGTAAGCCCGAGATGAGCTTAGTAATTTGACGAATCAGTTGTGATTTTGAATTATATTCTATTGGCCGGCATTTTTGTTTTCGCTCCGCTGTCATTTAATCGAGACGTGACCTACCTGTGAAATTAACATGCTCTACCTAACAGTTAACGTTACCTGGTTTGTATTTCCGGCAATATACCCCATAATCATCATTTGATTTCACGATTCTGATCGGGTGTGGCCAGAACGATTTGGCTAAGCTTAATTTACATTTGCCCGAACGCCGCTCATTATCTTCGACAATTAACGACGATATCAATACCGCTTATGAATGATTTAAATGTCCCTGCACGCGCCGTCCGGACCCATCAGCCGGCTGCGGCGGCCGACCCGGCTAATCCCCAGGAATGTGTGTGAAGGAGGGGGTGTCCCGCTCGTGGGGAGGGGTTACCTGGCGGCTGATCAGACGGTGACCCGCCGGCGCGCCGGCGGTGGGGGGCCGGCGCCGGTCGAGAGAAGCGGCCATCTTTGGGCACCCGGTCGGTCCCGGCCGCCGGTCCTGCGGCGGCTAGAGTAATTAACGCGTGCCACTGGCCGTCCAGCGCGGGTTCACAGGGAAACTGGGATGGGGCGCTAGGTCCGACGGCGGCACACGATCACTCGACGGGTAGTAGAGCACCGACTGAAGACGGAGCATGGATGCGACGCGTGTAAGAATGTGATCTATCGACATTCCACCTTTCCTATCAGTCTTCTCCGAGTGATCGTTAATGCAGTCTCTGAGTGTCGGCCAGTCGCTCTGTCGGCTTGTCGGCCTGTCAGTCCGCCAGTTTGCCGTTCACGGTCTGATGGTCTGTTGGTCTGATGGTACGTCGGTCTGACAGTTTGACGGTCTGTCAGTACGCCGGTCTGTTGGTTGGCGACCCATTGACTCGTCCGTCCGTTCGTTCGTCAGTCTATCTATACGTTTGGCCATCTGCTTCCATCTGTCTCCCTTTCTCTGTCCGTCTGTCTGTATGTATGTCTCTCTCCCCCTTCTCTCTCGCTCTCTCTCTCTCTCTCTCTCTCTCTCTCTCTCTCTCTCTCTCTCTCTCTCTCTCTCCCCCTCTCTCTCTCCCTCTCTCTCTCTCCCTCTCTCTCTCTCTCTCTCTCTCTCTCTCTCTCTCTCTCTCTCTCCCTCTCTCGCACTCATAGCTACCAGCACGCGTTTCATGTCAGTCGGTAATCCGCGATTGCGTCGTCGGGTCCGCTGCGTGCATGACGTCACGGAGGAGGTGCTGTCTCGGGACGCGTGAGGACGGACCCCAACCCGCGGGCGCGGCGACGCCCGGGCCGGACGGGCTCGGCCGTGCTAATGATCAGGGGATCGGCGGGTGACCCTCGCTGCTCGCACCGCGCTGGGGTGCGGGATAACAATGGCTGAGCCGAACCCGCAGTCAGAGGTGACCTGTGGCCCACTGAGAGCGGCTATCGCTACACGGACCGCCGGGTCATTAACAATTATACCCGGATTGACATAAACATCACCGATGATTGAAATAGGGTCAGGCATCGCTAACAACTTCCAATTGTTTAAGTCGGGCAGTGTTTTTTTTTTTTTTACAAATGGGTTGAGTTAATGCTTTGTCAGAGTTACACGGTTTGTCGAAATTAGAACACGGTCTTTTATCGCTCTACAAAATGCTTAACGGTAAAATTCGAGGAAAGGAATTAAGATAATTCGTATCGAATTAAGAGGTACTATATTAGGGAATAAATCGGGGCTGCGAGGCCAGTCTATGCGTGTCGTACCCCCGTGTACGTTGTGTTCACCGACACGGTTGTCTACACTTACGGGTGATGGGAAACAGGGACGGGTTATTGTCTGGGTTGAACGATTGAATATGCAATTATGATTGATCTGATGGTATTCGGGCCTAAGCTCACTCTAAACGTGCGAGTAGGATTATTGGCTAAAGCATCAGTGGTAGGGGACGTTTAACGTTGGTGATTTAGAGGCGCTTAATTCTAGCGATTGGTTTGTTCCGGAAAGGTAGGTTAAAACGGCTGGGTTATAGGGGGAAACGCCATGAGGGCGCGGGAAACGCCATGAAGGCCACCGGGTCGTTGTAGGGTTACTGGGAGCAGGTTCCGGTTGAAGTAGGCGCTAGAGTTATGTAGATAGGTGGTTTGCAGCTCAAAGGATCGTTAGGCGATGGAAATGCTACGTAATTCGCGATTGGATAGGTTTTGCTTTAGGTTCTCTATAAAAGTTGATAATCGACGGCTCAACAATGGTGATCGCGGGCGACGCGCGCAGCATGTTTTGCTCTTGCATGGTCGTTCTCGTTCGATGTCTCGGGCGGTTTCTACGGCGTAAGACGGGCAAAATAAATAGCCGTGTCGCGGTCACGGCTAAGGCTCAAGGGAGAGGGGAAGAGAGTTGGACTCTACAAAGCAGGGAAAATCCGGCCTGGCATTAGATTCTCCCTTGATGTTAGGTTTTAGGCCTCCGCTGTCGTTTTTACTAGCTTGAGTCGGAGACGGGATAGATTAGACAAGTCAGATCATGCCTGCGATCGTCAAATTTATGTCGCCACTGAACGAGACGTTGAAATTGTAAGGATAGATTAGGATCAGTGCTGGTATTTAGGAATTATTTGGGAAGGGGAGGTTATGAGCATTTTTTTATTTTGGGAGCAGGCTGCTCATGTGTTCTATCTTGGCGGCAGGGTGATCCGCAGCCTAATACACCAGCTACGTTTTACATGGGCAGGGAAATGACATCTAACAAGCTTGCATTAACTTGTCACTGTACACCACTGGGGGAGAGTTAGGTGAAGAGGGAGGGAGCGGACTAATAGTCTGGCGTTTTTCTTGTGTGTGAGATGTGTGTTTGAGTACATGATTATGCTACGTTAGGTTATGTTTTTAGGTTAGGTAGGTTAGGTTAGGCTAGGTTAGAGTGAGTTGAAGTGTGAATGTGGTATATCCAGTGGGAGGTACCCCTTCGTGCAGTGGCCGGGATGTGACTGTGATGTGAAGTGTCGTTTCTTCTGTTCCAAGTAAACGTATTTAAAGGGGGGTCCGAACCGGGTTGAGAGAGAGCCTCGGGCAGCCAGCCTGATTAAATTATCCTCTTTGAATGCCCATAACCCAATGACCCATCACCGTACAGTTGTAGCAGCCTATATGCCCCAGTGACTGACCAGCCTCGCAAATCAAACAAACAAATAATTATCTTGCAGCTGAGCCCCGCTACATGACTACGTGCAAAAACAGTTTGCCTTTCTGTTGTTTACGACATCTTGAGTTGAACCATTGTTGCCCTTTCATGATTATCAGCCATCTTATCCTCGGGGTTTTACCGGGTACATTGCTCTAGTATCTGCAACTTCAGTTAGGAAGTCATTGGTCACGTTTAAATGACCATTGTTTGTCACATCTACAGAATTTGCTAGTGTCTTTCACTGCACAACACCCCTCCACGGTCCACCGCTTACTTGGTAGAGTGAGTTTCAGCCCGGAATAGAGGAGGGTTAAAGAGGATGGAAATGGATTGATTAAATAGATAAGAACAGAGGGTCAGGAGGGGGCAAGGATGCCGATAACGACTGCAGTCCAGGCGCCCTAGCCCCTCCCTCAAGGGTAAAGATAATAAATTTTAGAAGCATCGTGTGATCGCATCGACACGTATCGTTAACAACCTTCCCGTGCCGTTACCTACCTGCCCATATTATCCCCCCCCCCCTCCCCCTGGCCCGTACCGTACCCACCTGCCTGAACCATGACGGCGCCCCTCCAGCCGCGCCACTTGACCAGCGAGCTGACCAGCGGCGCCATGATGAAGGTGCCTATTCCCGAACCGCACACAGCGATACCGGTGGCCAGAGCCCGCCGCTTGTCGAAGTAAAACCCGGCAGCGATCACAGCTGGCAGATAGATCATGCCGAAACCGATACCTGTGATGATAGGGAAAGCATTTTAGAGAAATCATATCACGCTGAACCCGTGTATGTGGTGTTACAGAATAACAGGTAAATACCGTACATATGATGCAGATTGCAGGGTAGTTTCATGTGTAGGTACGCATGTAGCTAAAATCGGCGACACTAGACCGGACACGTAGGTAGGTATAACCGTTTCATGTGGGTAAAACTTAACATTGGTGCTCTTACGAATACCGACCGTGGAAGAAGCGATAGATTAGTGTCACGTACTAATTATAGTCAGTGGATTGGTTGTTTGCGTCTTATCTGCGTCTGCGTCCTCTTCAAAAATTAATAATTTTGAGCACCTCGATCTGAAGAAGAGCGTGGCATGCACGTGTGTTATCTTGTAAATAAGTCGAGGCAATGCCGTTTTTCTGCGCTTACTCACCTCCAACAAGGCCATAGGTTATGACCAGGAAATCCACTGACGTGGCGTACGCTGAGATGAAAAACCCCAGACTGGAGATGACTGCTCCCATAATGGTGACGACTCGGAAGCCAAACTTATTTGCCAGGGCACTTACAAAGGGCCCTGAAACACAAACATAAAACCGTCAGAAATACCATCATATAGGTACAGCCCACCGCTAAAGTAATGTGCGGTTTTACCAATCTCAACGGATGACTTTGACTGGCGATTTTTTTAATGCGGAGTGATCGAAAAGAAAACGTCAATAAATGAAGTTGCAGCTGTAAAGGTGGCGATACTTGTAAGCTACATTCAAAGTTTCATTGTAGTCTGGCTAATCGTTCCTAAGCTTCAGAAGCAGAACATACCCATGACAAACCGCACATTACTTCTGCTGTGGACTGTACTGTGTAGTACCCACTCACATTGAGATTTCGGTGAGATAATGACATTTTTTAAGTTGTTGGAGAATGACATTCAATGACTATTTCATCACCTCATCAAGTCAACCACGTGTTCAGGAACAGCCGGTAGTGCCGCCAGATGCCAGACATTTGACGTAAATCAATTCTGTTATATTTGGATTATCGAAACTCGATAGATTTGCCATGTAGTACGAGTCTGTTTATTGCATAAGCACAATGTCTCCGATGCCACAGCCCCGCAGTAACGACCTCGTCATGCAGCGCTGCCACCCTGAAGCCGGTGTCACGCCTTCACCGAGTGATAGCCAACTGACGTCACTGCTCTGGGCCGGTGACCAAGGAAGAATTGTGTGGTGGACGCTTGAATATTATGTCTGAACTGCCTATAAAGAGCGCAAACATACCAAAAGAAAGACCATACGCAGCCCAAAGAATAATAAACAAGAGAGCTGCAGGATGTGTGTACTGTGTACGCAGTGTTCACGCCACGCATTCGTGCGCGTGTGCGTGTGTTTAGTTCATACGTTTATAATTTACACCAGAAGAATAAAATGCGTCTCCTCGATGTTGCTCAGTTGTGAGCCAATGTACCGAAGAAGTTTAAAAGCAAAAAAAAGTGCTGCAGCATTGTGCCTCGTGCTCGGTTGGCACAGATCATCAGCTGCCGAAATGGTCACCCCAGTCAAAACGGTCAACACGGAGCGACATGCTGTTACGAGAAGTGAGAACAGCCCTCACCAGTTGCCTGCATTGGGTAATCGTAAGCCCGGAACAGGGAAGTGTAATCAAGGATGAGGATGTGTTGGTCCCGATGATAAGGACGAATGATGCTGGGGGCCTTTGTGTGTGCTTGCACTTCAGTTCTTGTTAGGAAATGACTACTTAGTGCTCGTTCGATGCATTTAACCCGCGTGAACTTGGTTCAGATACGATTTCTGCCGTGCCTTTTCATTGTAATTGATTACACACACGACCAGCTGCAGGTATGGATATCGCAGCTGGAGTTGCGCCTCCCCTCCAGCTGGCACTGGTACGGTAAAGCACTGATGCATACCGCCGCGTCCAACTGCTGCGGGTAGCGACCGGCAGCGGGGAAGGGGGAGGAGGGGAGTGGTTGGCAGGTCGCCACCGCGGACCCGGAGCAGGGTACGGGTTCAGTGAGACGCCCCAGAGCCTGTTCACTTCACTGCGGTGTATGTACACAGTGCACTGCCCTCACAGCGCCTATTGTGCGACATCCATCAGCCCCAGTGTATCTGTTTGTGCACGGCCGGCGCGGTCGTCTGGTGGCGGGCTGTGCCCGGCACGACGCGTATGACTGAGTCTGGCAGACGACGGACTCTGTAAATCCGGCGCAGTCCCAGCCAGAGCCGGCGTCTCGTTTCACGCAGCGAACTGGCGACGCGTGCTTGTCGCGTATTGCGCCGGAGACCTACATTTCAATTTGTGCCAGCTGGAATTCAGCGAAGCGTAGTGGCTGTTTCAAATAAAAGTTTCGCCCAGGCATCATCGAGGCGGCGGAAACGGTCGCGCTCGCGACACCAACCCACGCGCTGTACGACTGTACGTCTGCTTCAGAATGAGTTCTCGGCTGATGTGCACATCAAACTGAATAGTGTGTGGGATTGACACACAGTTTGAAAACACTGCAAGCGACTAAAAGAGAGCATGTTTACTTAATGACATAACATGGAAAGAATACTTTCAGTCGCATTTGTTAGAAATTTTCTTTAAAAAAAATAGCTGTTTATTTCTTCGGTTCATGATCCGATTCGCTAAAAGGTACGCTTTTCAAATGGGCACTGATATGCCATAATGGACGGTATCAATTTCTCACGCCCCAGTCACCTTGAAACATGATACCATTGGATTGGAATGACACCAGCTATCCATACCCAAGACGGCCTTGCGCTGTAACAAAGCAGTGCAATCATCGGCCACTAGCGCGGCGTTGCGTAGTTGAAATCAAAACCGGTTCTGTTCACCTGACGATACTGCGCCGGCGGTCGGTAGGTATTGCGGTACAGTCTACCCGCCAGGCCAGCAGCATTGCGCGGCGGCCGGCGCTGGAATGGTAACCCGAGACGTGACACGGGGGCTGAGTGCCGTTCACGTGCCGCTGCGTCACTGATCCCCGGTGGAACACGGGGCACGTGCAGCGATTCCCACGTGGTGTTCGCTGACTAAGCGGACAGCTTTCCGAGAAGTGCTTCAATACAGCGCGGACTTCTTGAAATTTGAAGCGACTGGACTGGCATTTCATATGTCTGAACGGCTTCAAATGCAATTTCAATGAATAGGAGATGTGTTTAGTGCCAATGAAATTAACATGGTATGCTTCCCTGTCATGCTTTCATACAAGATGAAGATGACGCAATAAGTGCTTTACACTTTAAACGGTGTCCATACTGTCTGTATGGTTTGGTTATTACATAGTAATGAGTGATGTAATCTTAGGCAGACAAGCGGACAGCTAGTACCTACTTGATGGTGAAATGATAATCATGTGTCTTATCATGCCTATCTATCAAGTCCGCGCCACAAGTCAAGGCCAAGGAAATGCAGCCTGGAGATATGTCGATGCCCTTTTTTGATAATGATTGTAAGAAAAATGCCACTATGGTACGTAAGTGTCGCTGTAGGTAAAATTGTAATTGAATAACTCACCTGCAATGAGGTAGAAACCGGAGAGGATGGAGCCTATCCAGGCCGTCTTTGATTTGCTCTCTCCAAACTCGTCGACGAGCGGCAGCAGGAGGACGCCGAAGCTGAAGATGAAGCCGTCCACGATGGCGTTGCACATGAAGCTGGCTGCGACGATGACCCATCCCCATCCGCCGTCGGGCGGCACGACGTGCGGCACTTGGAGCACCACGTCCTCGTTCTGGTCGGCCTCCGGGTCTGCAGACTCGCCACCGGCCGCCGACTCTGGGGGGCGCAGAGACGGAGTGGCGCTTAGAGCATGGCTATAATGACGACAGGTGAATTGGTGAACACTGGTGAATTTATGGCCGCTGCATTTCGATGACTACAAGTAACACATTTCATTTGGTTAAACCAGCCACTGGCCGCACTGGAAGACTTGAACGATGCTATGACTGTTTTTCCTCCGAAAATGTTCCTCCGAAATGGCTGCACATAGAAACTATATAGCGCACATCTTTTCTAAGTTTTTTTTTCGTATGCATGCTGCTTGAGGTGAAGAGTGTTTGAAGGCATTGATTGATATGATATATGTTTGAAAAGTCGACGCCAACACTGAACTGCAACCAAGTCATCAACTTGAGCATATAAAGAACAGCTTTATCGTGAGTGGTTTAAAGATACGCATTGGAAGGTACTGGATATCCTCATTAAGGCAGCAAGCAATTGCACATAAATTGTACCTTGATTGATGACATTTTCCATTGTTAACCGGTGCAAAGCTAAATATCAATATTTTTCCTGATATTATACCTACTTCTACTTTTATTTCCTTAGGATCAAGGAGTTTTAAAGACGTAGGACCACTATGCACGTGTCTTCCATCCGCTACGGTGTCACCAAATCGACCAAAGCTCTAAAATTATTCAGCCGGTCGCCATGAAAATTGCACACTTTTTCCACGAACACCGAACGTGACGTCATGCACTCTGTGTTCTCCAGTGTCGCCACACCGTCATTAACCCGGCCGGGCCCGGGGGGTAATCCCAACCACCGCAGCCCGGGGGGGCGTTTTTCGCCCCCCCCTGTCTAACTCCGTAAATAAGGGAGCTACGGAAACAAAAGCGATACCAAACGAAAGGTCCTTACGAGACGATTCTAAAGCACCTAAAATTTTTGACCTCAGGTCAATTTTCAAGGTCAGAGGTCAAGGTCAAAGGCAAAAACCGGCACATGTGTAGTGATCTCAAAGTAAGCCTTCTAGAGGACGGCAGGCTGCATCAAACCGGCAAAATTGGGTGTCAAACGAAAGAAGAGAATCTGAGGATTTCGAAAATGTGCTCAAAATCAAAGGTCAAGGTCAAGGGCACGCTCAAAATTGACCTCAAACTTGGCACTTTTTCGCACATGTTGCGTGCTAACTTCCAAGATGTTTTGAAATGCTTTGAGGCTTATCAGTTCCCTATTTGTGGTTCATCTTACGATACAAGGCTGCTCAAAGGTCAAGGTCACTGAAGAGTATCCCTGCTAGAGGCTATTTCACTAATTCAAGTTAGTAATAATAAGTAAGACAATTTTGCCATCCAGAAGCTCTAAATGAAGGCTTAGAGGAAAATAGATGCCAGATTCGTGATCAGCGGGTACAAATCCATCAGAAACGACCTTTCATGTGTCAAGGTCAACCAGAGGTCATTCGAGGTCACATGAGGTCAACCTAAAACTTGACCTTTTCCGAACAAAATATATATCATTCGACGCGGCTGGACAAGGCGAATGCGATGGTACCACTGCCGAAGCTCTGACTATTTTTGTCGAAGTTATTTGCGAAAAACTAAAACCACATTTCGGGGTCGTTGACCTGACCTCTGACCTCAGGTCATCAAAACTATTTTTCTATTTTTCTCTATGTCAAGCGCTACACAGTCGTGCTCGTAATTTGTCTTTATCTCCAAAACTCTATTTTAAGCAGCTATTTGAAGTTTGCGTCTGTGACGCCGAAGTTTGCCGTGCAGAGGTCTAGAAAAATGGACTTTGTGACGTCATCAAGGGGGCTAGGTCCAAATTTTTTGCTTCAGAAGATGTCAAATTGATGGGAGAAAAGGTACTGAAAGTTTCGCTTTCCTATCCCTAAGCGTTCGGGAGCTATCGCAAATATTCGCCAGGGGGGGGGGCGAAAAACGCCCCCCCCGGGCCCGCGAGGGTTAATATGTTCCATGAGCCATACACAGTCCGCCGGCCGGCCGCTCGCTGTGCAAACAGCCGAAGCGCCGCGGCGCGGCCGCCAGGCCCGTCTGCCGTGACCAGAGTCCGACGGCCCTGGGGCCACCGACTTCCGAGTCAATGCCTTCTGGGAAATGGCCGGAGAGTCTGCCAGCTCGGCTGGTCAGCTCAGCGCCGCCGCCGCGGACTCTGGCACAAACCGAGCGTGTTTGTGGGTATCCTTAGCGGACACCAGCACAAACTGAGAGACGAGGGGGTTTGTGGACACTGAGTCGGCTCAGCCAGTCAGGATGGGTGACATCAGCCATGTTGGCAGTGTACCAGATACCCTGAAAGTTCACAAGCCTCTGTGTGACATCAGCCGTACCATTTGCACGTACCGGACTGGTAAATACACAACCGTTGATCAAGGCAGTGGCGTTAGCCGTGATCATGACTGGCACATGGAAAATTTTGTTCATGCATCTGATATGAAGTCAAAACATTTGTGAAGGGGATAGATTCGCGACCCTCGTCTTGCCGGTGGTCAGTTCCGGCAAATGAGTTTCAGCGCTCATCATGCGGCTTCGTCTTGCGTTAGCTTACCTCGTCTGAGCTGTGGTACTCTCAGGAACTGCGTGTCCTCGCCTTGTATTGATCGCCTCTGATCACCTATGTGAAACTGAGGACGTCTGTCCTCCTCGTCTGTCCGGGGAGCCATGTGAACTCCCCCGGAATGGGACCTGAAAAGGGAAAATGAGTCGTCAAATAAAACATAGACATGGTTCGCGTCAAAGGTGGTTGTCAAGGTAAACGGTGATTCAGGTGGATCGCAAAACAATGGCCTAATTGCAGTCGTTCAAAATATGTGAGAAACAAGACGAGAGCTGACAAACAGACCAAGGTATGTAAGGTGCTCTGAAAACGCCAAATAAGGCAAAAAACTGTCCGGCGTAGCTTTCAGTGCACCTGACAGTATCTGCTGCTGTTTCTCCCGCTGTTAGGGCAGTGTTCTGCGGCACACGTCATCGGGGACGGTACCGTTTCCGTTCAGGACACCAGACCAGGCCACATCAGTGCTGCTACGTCACTCACCTTTGTAGAGCGCTGTGTCCGCTCAGGGAAAAACCAGCTCTGGGCACCGGGGGCACACCAGCAGCGTCACTATACGCCGGCGCCATATCACCGGGCTAGGGTGACTCCACACCCCGCTATATTCCCTTCCGACAGGCCACAGTGTGACAGGAGCTGGACACACCAGACGCAGCCCCCACGTGCGGTCTCCTGTGGTGGTCGTCCGCCATCTACCTGCCTATCTGACTGACCTGCGTCACATCAAGTGGTCGCCGCAGATAGACAGCCGAAAAACAGGCACATATCGAGCCGGGCCCATCGACCGCCTCCTCTCTCTCTCTCTCTCTCTCTCTCTCTCTCTCTCTCTCTCTCTCTCTCTCTCTCTCTCTCTCTCTCTCTCTCTCTCTCTCTCTCTCTCTCTCTCTCTCTCTCTCTCTCTCTCTTTCTCTCTCTCTCTCTCTCTCTCTCTCTCTCTCTCTCTCTCTCTCTCTCTCTCTCTCTCTCTCTCTCTCTCTCTCTCTCCATCACTCCCTTTCTTTCCCTTTCTTTTTGTTTGCCTTTCCCTTTTCGTACGAAAGTATTAGGTATTGTTCATGTTCAGTTATTTATTTGCACTCATTGCTGGTATTCACTAATTAATCACTACAGTTTGTTGTCTATAGACTGCATTAAATCTTCACCTAAAGAAGCTGGTTATACATAAAACAATGACATGAAATTCTCAATTTTCGTTCTGAACATAGTCCAATATTGACATAAAATGCACTGGAACTTTTAAACGTTCTTTATCTTTCCCCTTATCGGCTCAAATAGCTCGCCTTAAGAAAATAATTGACGTACTTATTAACTGAGTAACCTACTAAAATGCGAAAAGGCCAAAGCATGTGTGACCATATGGTCCTCATTTCCCGAGTTGAGTGTCCGATCTTGACTGATCTCACCTTGGCCCTTTTTACTAGCAATGATGTAATCCGCTTCTGAGCGAAACTCGCGTCAATTTCGGTGTGCGCAAACGTCGTTTATGGCAACACGGAGATCCTTTGTGACATTCAGAGGCGGATCCAGCTCAGAGTTTTTTTTTGGGGGGGGCAAACCATGACAATTTATCGATTCTTTCCATGCATCGTCCATAGGCGTAATGTTAAAATTATGCCGTTGGGGGGGGGGCAAATACCCATTTTGCCCCCCCCTGGATCCGCCACTGGTGACCCTTGCCGTTCTTTGTCGTTACAACTTGCATTCCATAAGCTTTCGGGTTTGGAGAAGAACATCATTTGATTTCCACGAAATGAGATGCATCTTGCCGAAACAAAGGCACCTTATCTTGACCTATCCACTAAATGATATCTGTTAAGTTGCATATGCAGAAGCACCCCGATGATATGTACCCCACCATTGTGTACTTCATCAATCCTAGCATGTACTGTTGAGCTATATTGGTGCGGGACTTTGCAAACCAACGGATGCGCCTTATCGATTAGCTCAAGAAGTCAAGAGCTGGGGGGGGGGGGGGGGTAGATATCTGAGACCAGTGAGACGATCGCGCGACACGAATTATGAGAGCCACCTGGGTCCCTGGGTATGAGTGGTCTGGGTCCCGTAAGAAAGTGCCGTTAAGTGGCATCCGAGCGACCGGCGCACGCGACTCATCAGTTCACAGTGAACTCTCCGCAGCGCCAGAGATGCGGCCGCCGCACAGTAGGCCGGCCGGCCGCCAGGAGCGCTAGAAATGCCGAAAAATGAAACGTGCTCAGGGTGCAAAAAATTAATACCCACAGACTCGAAATTGATCATAGGATACGATGCCGTGCCGTGAATAAGTATGAGTCCGATGTCACGGCCAATATTCAGCTCCGAACACAGTCTAACTGACGGTTAGGGAATGAAGCGGCTATCTGAACGATTTCGACTAGATTTTGAATTGCTCTTTTCTCATGAATGAACATCTTATTGGTGAAAATAAACGACTGCACATGATGCACACGGTTATTGTGATCATGTTCATAACCAATTTCATTGGGCTCACTCATCTGATTGCACTCTAAATAGTGAGTTTGCAACATGTTGCAGACATCTACATAAGCTTATATTCAATTAGACTTATATAAAAACGTTATTTTTGGCACCTAATTCTGACGGCATAATAAGATTGGGCAAGTGTTGTACTTTCGAACCGTTGTCGATTTTTTCTGCTTTTCGCTGCTAGTTTAGGAGCTATACTGGCATTTGCTGGGGTATTTTTATACCATCTGGTTGGGAGAGGGGTAGTGAACGTCCTTAGCCTATAACTTGCGAACAAATGGTCGCAGCGAGATGCGCATGGCAGCGATCGAAAGGTCTCAACAAGATGTGTTCGATTAGCATTTAAAACTTGTTTTAACCCGGCATTTGCTGGGGTATTTTCATAACACCACTTGCTGGGGGGGGGGGGGGGCCGTCAGACGTCCCCAGCCCATAACTCGAGAACGGTTAGTCGCAGCGGGACAGGCGAGGCGGCAAACGAAAGCTCTAAACAAGACGCATCTGATGAGTACTTAAAATTGGTTCTCAGGTCAAACTTGAGGTCAAGGTCAGGTCAAAGGTAAAAAATAGGGGTTTTCATTTTGGGCCCCAGAGACCGAACTACCGACAGCAGCGAGCTCAAAATTTCTTGGCATGTGCCCAAAAGATGTAAGAAAAGTCTCATTGTGTCTAAAGCGAATTGGAGCACAGGTCAAGGTCAAGGTCAGGTCACCAAAGGTCACACAAAGTCGAATTTTCAAAATAACATTTAAATACCGTGTGACACATGTTTTTGGGGTAGTTTTGGACGTAGAACACGATGGTGGCAAGAATTTGGAGATTTGACCCCCGCAAAATGGTGAAAAAGTGAAAAAAAGGGGTTAAAAATTCGAAATTTTCAAAATTCAAAATTTTGAATTCAAAACATGCTATCTGATGCAGTTTTATCTCAGGATTCCAAAAATGTCTTTTGTTTTGCTCTACGACCCCTATAAGTACCAAAAATTTGAGTTTGAAAAATAAAATTGGATATTTTGTTACTTTTTACGCCCTCTATAGCAACCAAATATTGAGCTACGGACTTGAAATTTTGCATGCTGATTCTTCTTTTGATGCCCGAGGACAACTTGTCTCATTTTTTTTTGAAAAATTCAAATTTTTGAAAAAATCAAATTTTTCTCAAAATTTGGTTTGACATTTTGGACCCCTAAAACTCAAAATTTTGAAAATCCGAGATAGCCATCTTGTAGAAAATTCAATTTTCTATCGTTTGAGCCCTGAAAATTGCAAATTGCTTCATTTATATATCCTACAATAGGCAGGGGAGGGTCGATGCGAAGCCTTATATTCGCGATGGTGCAAAAACGGGGATGCGCATCGCGCTGAACTTTACAATAGCTTCTACAGGGGCATATTGTGATCGTATTCATAACCAAATTCATTGGGATCACTCACTTGATCCTATATAGTAAGCTTGCAGCTTGCAGCATGTTTCAAAAATATTAGAGGAAATATTAAAGATGTATTAAATTGTACGTTTATAAAAATGTAACTTCGGGCACCTAATTTTGACGGTATAAAAAGATTGGGCTAGTGTTGCACTTTCCAACCGTAGTCGATTTTGTATTCTTTTCCCTGCTAGTTTAAGAAATATAGCCTTCAATATGAGAGGTTCTATATCCTACAACAGGCAGGGGAGGGTCGATGCGAAGCCTTATTTTCGCGATAGTGCAAAAACGGGGATGCGCAGCGCGCTAAACTTTACAATAGTTTCTACAGGGGCATATTGTGATCGTATTCATAACCGAATTCATTGGGATCACTCACTTGATCCTATATATAGTAAGCTTGCAGCATGTTTCAAAAATATCAGAGGACATATTAAGGATACATTGAATCATATTTTTTTCAAACATGTGATTTCGTGCACCTAATTCTGACGGCATAATAAGATTGCGCTGGTGTTGTAGTTTCCAACCGTAGTCGATTTCTTCTGCTTTTCCCTGCTAGTTTAAGAAATATAGCCTTCAATATGAGGGGTTCTATATCCTACAACAGGCAGGGGAGGGTCGATGCGAAACCTTATTTTCGCGACAGTGCAAAAACGGGGTTGCCCAGCGCGCTGAACTTTACAATAGCTTCTACAGGGGCATGTTGTGATCGTATTCATAAACGAATTCATTGGGATCACTCACTTGATCCTATAAAAAGTGAGCTTGCAGCATTTTTCAAAAATATTAGAGGAAATACTAAGGATACATTGAGTTACATTTCTTTCAAACATGTGATTTCGGGCACCTAATTATGACGGCATAGTAAGATTGGGCTAGTGTTGTACTTTCCAACCGTAGTCGATTTTTTCTGCTTTTCCCTGCTAGTTTAGGAAATATAGCCTTCAATATTAGGGTTTCTATATCCTACAACAGGCAGGGGAGGGTCGATGCGAAACCTTATTTTCGCGACAGTGCAAAAACGGGATGCCCAGCGCTCTGAACTTTACAATACCTTCTACAGGGGCATATTGTGATCGTATTCATAACCGAATTCATTGGGATCACTCACTTGATCCTATATATAGTAAGCTTGCAGCAGGTTTCAAAAATATTAGAGGAAATATTAAAGATGTATTAAATTATACGTTTATAAAAATGTAACTTCGGGCACCTAATTTTGACGGTATAAAAAGATTGGGCTAGTGTTACACTTTCCAACCGTAGTCGATTTTGTATGCTTTTCCCTGCTAGTTTAAGAAATATATCCTTCAATATGAGGGGTTCTATATCCTACAACAGGCAGGGGAGAGACAGAGAGACAGAGAGACAGAGAGACAGAGAGACAGAGAGACAGAGAGACAGAGAGACAGAGAGACAGAGAGACAGAGAGACAGAGAGACAGAGAGGCAGAGAGACAGAGAGACAGAGAGACAGAGAGACAGAGAGACAGAGAGAGAGAGAGAGAGAGAGAGAGAGAGAGAGAGAGAGAGAGAGAGAGAGAGAGAGAGAGAGAGAGAGAGAAGATTGTATCCTTGACCAATTCATGTGTCGGTCATTAATGGAGAAACTGTGAGTGCCGGGAAGTGTGTTAAAATCTTACCAGGAATGACGCCTTTTGAACTCCTCAGTAAACTAAGTGCAGTGTATGCAAATTGCAACATGCATGCATGCATGGTATTAGAAGTCTTGAATTTACATCTTATTGGTGTGGTATCTCGCTAAACGTTGTAAATGAAATGTTTTCACAGTCAGTTGAACGATAACTCGAGCGCAAATAATTTCCAGCGCTCCTGGCGGCCGCCCGGCCCACTGTGCGCCGTGCCCCGCCTCCCCCACCCCGCGGCTCCTGCCCCGCCCCAGCCACCTGCCCTGCAACAGTTCAAGGTCGATCCGACCGCGGCCACTCAACAGCTGACTGGGACGCCGATCGATAGAGGTCCGGTGGGCCAGGAGGAGGGGGGCGGAGACTCGCTCAGAAAGATAGCGCTTACGGACAAGGCGTCCGCGTCCCGTGAGTAAGGACTACGGATGGAAGACAAAGAAGTTAAAATAGAACAATGAAAGAAAATGAAAATGATATGATACATTATATAATGAAGGAAATGAAATCAGATTGTCATTGAGAATTATGGTGGATGTCTAAAGGGATATAGCTGACATCTGTTTTTGAGCTCGTCATTTGTCGGTTACACTTGGGCAAATACGATTGATGAGGGCCATTATAAGCGATAACATAGTATGACGCTGTTCTGCGACAGACCGCATCAATCATGGCGGCAGCAGTGGTGACGACGTTCCGTGAAAATTAAAAACTAGCATGTTCGGCGTTCGCAGGCTTTCATTCATAAAATGAAACCAACAAAATAGCTCTCCAAAGAGCAAAATGGACAGAGGAAGCCACAGCCTGCATGTGACCGTTTCGGGTTCCATATGCTGCGCATTTTGGCTAGCTCGATGTATGCTTCCTATTGTAAATCTGTACAGTTTGCAACTATTGACTTGAACGAAAATTGACCCTTGACCTGACCTTAATGGTCACATTGTGACCTACAAGGTCAACATTTTACGTCAACAAGTCACATGTGCCGACTTGGCCGACTGTATAAATATCGATAAATTATTGAAGCCATACCATACATCTCAACAAAAAGAACTTGTTGCACAATGCGCAGGTTCTTGACCAATGACCAGTGACCACCATTGTATCATATGGGATTCCCGGATAATGACAAGGATTTGCCTTATCAGAGTGAAGCGCCATATGATCAGACTCGGTCCGTTTCGCTCACTTGAATTGGCTGAAGCTGCTCCCACCAACTGCGAACTAACTCCATCAGGAATTCATTAGTTATATCGAGCGCTGGATCGACTCGAGTCGACGTCTCATCATCGTTAAGCACGGACGGAGACGCTTGAAGTCGGATCAATGGTCTGACCCTGGAAGGTTAAGACAATCAGATTGCTTTTCAGAAAACAGGATGTGCAGAGAGAGAGAGAGAGAGAGAGAGAGAGAGAGAGAGAGAGAGAGAGAGAGAGAGAGAGAGAGAGAGAGAGAGAGAGAGAGAGAAGAGAGAGAGAGAGAGAGAGAGAGAGAGAGAGAGAGAGAGAGAGAGAGAGTGGGAACGAAAATCCTACATAGCATTTCATTAATTAATTTTGAAACTAATTTCACGCTTGTCACCCGGAATGATTCAGTTCCTTATGCCGAAATCATCAGGCGTAGCAGACTCGGCCAACCGGGTGTGCTTCAGTGCTTGTGCAGGTTAGACAGATTTGTATTGTGTATGCCATATACGAGCTATGCTGAGCTCGTATGCTGAGCTACAGTCTAGCAAGGTCCTTGAAGTCTCTGGGAGTTTTGCACGCTCGTTCTGCAGGGAGTAGAGTTTTCGCTCTCGCTGACCTATGATCTACCGAAACTCACAGCACAGAGATGGAAGCTCACAGAACGCAAACTATTATTTTGACCCGGATATCTTTCTTTGATTTATGCAAATACGCGCTACAAAAGCATTATTGTTGATCTTTATCGTTCGCTGTCATCTCAGTGGCTCCGTGAGTTCTCCCGAGTCTGATCGGACTGTGTCGTCGGCCTTTGTTGGCGGTTCTTACTTGTCGCTGGCATCCTCGTCCTCCTCCTGGATGGTGGGCATGGTAGTGGTGCGCGCCAGCTGCGGCTCCGACCCATCGTGCGCCAGCGTCTCGTTGGCGTTCCCCATGGCTGGCGCGGCGCCGCTCCCACCCGCGCCACGGCCCGAGCACGCGGTTCCTTTGTGATAGAGGCGACCGGCGCGTGCCCTCTCCCCGCTGGCGCAGAAGCAACTGAGACCGAGTCGCCGCCGGCGGTGGCGCCTCGGGCAGCAGCGGCGGCCCGGGCCACCGCGCGGCCGGCGCGTGCGCAGTGACCGCCGAAATCTGCTCGACTAGCCGACCCGGCCCGGCGTGGTACGCCCGGCCGTTCCCGCTACTCACAGGATGAGCTACGTGGGCGACTGCCCGTGTTTGTGTAAAACGGTGACGATCACAGCTGTGAGAAATGTGAATGGTAGACACTCCACGTCATCTACCGTTCCCATCCGAGACGAGGCAGCTCGGCCAGCCCATGCGGTGGAGAGCAAGTTGATGCAAGGGATCTGACTGAAAAGCTACGGAATTCCCAGAAGTGCAGCGGTCCCTACATAAAATCTGACGAGCACAAGTCGATTCTTTGTAATGCAGAGGCTGCGGAGGTAGAGGTGTGCCTTCGTACAAACTGATCACACGAAGTTGATTAAAAACTCATTTGTGTCCGATAGTTTTACGCCATACCTACTATCAAATACTTTGTCCTCTTTTTGAATTTATCTATTTGTATGCCGACCTTCTCCTACTTAGGTCAGGTCAGGTCATTTTAGCTGGAATTATGTGACAAATTATTTGATTTCCCTATTCGCTTCTAAACTTTGTTGGACACCTATCTGTATGAAATGCTTGCTCGACATCGTGCAATGTGCTTGATAGTTTCTGGTTTGAAAAACAGAATAGGTATCTGGCATATTTCCTGCGGCCGTTCACACTTACCGTTGGTAACAGTCCCAAATGCTCAAGTGGCTTCCGAAGCACCAAATCGAGCAACCTTCTAAAGCTATCCAAGTCAAGACTGTCCCTAGTCGCGGTAAAATATGTTACATCTTCACTTCACTAGCAGCTCTTCGGTGTGTCCCCCACCAACCGAATGCAGCAACTGCCTCCAGTAATAGTCCGTTTCACCTGCGCGACTTGGTTCCGGTAAACTGTCGCGAGGGGACTTCCTGGTGGCGCTGGTCGTTATCCCCATTTTGTGCATCACTCCATGGGGCGTTGCACTCGAAGAAATCATCAAGGTTGCAGATTCCTAGTCTTGGGTTATGAATAACAAGATAAGAGCCCTGGTTTGAAGCTTTTCTCCGAAGTTGGTCTTACAACTAACATCAAAGTGTGGTGATGAAGGTGGTATGAAACAGGCGGCTGACTGATGTTGGTCCAGCTTCTTGGTAACCGGACAAAAGATCGTAAAGCAGAAGATCGTATGGCAGAAGATCGTAGGCAGTTGATCGTATGCAAAATATCGTAATGGATAAAGATCGTACGACATAATGCTCGTATGGACAAAAGATCGTATTCGCTAAAGATCGTCAAGGAAAATGATCGTATGCCAAAAAGTCGTAATGGATAAAGATCGTACGACATAATGATCGTATGGACAAAAGATCGTATTCGCTAAAGATCGTCAAGGAAAATGATCGTATGCCAAAAAGTCGTAATAGATAAAGATCGTACGACATAATGCTCGTATGGACAAAAGATCGTATTCGCTAAAGATCGTCAAGGAAAATGATCGTACGCCAAATGATCGTATGAGATAAAGATCGTACAGTCAAAATATGGTATTCACATGGTGCAGCCCAACTCCAGCGCATACAAAGCTTATCAATTTCTGTGTTCGCGTAGTAAGTGGCCGTCGTAAGCTCGACCATACATTGATGTTATTTCAGAGCTTAGATGGCTCAATGACACCTAAAAGCAACGCGTTGTATATATGCCGAATAAATGAATGTATGTGCCTAGGGTGGTCCTTATTTCCATACAAAATTTTAATTTGTATTTTTTCGCGCTTGCGCCCACTGAAATGATGCCATTCGTCTAGAAACGTGGAAAAAGAGCAAAAAGAGCGAAATCGGCGGATGCTTTTTGGTGGCTCAATGCATATTATCCCTCGTATGTGTAGGGGGTCGGATGGACCCCCATGGGTTTTCGCGAATAACTCACGGAAAAAGCGGCCGATCGCGACGAAACTTTCAGTGCCCTCGAGTTGATCAATTTTATACCTACTCTGAAAATTTCATGACCCTGACCCAAATGACCTTTGACCTGCGACCTATCTTTCGAGACCATGTTTGGCCGGAGTCGCGATTCAGCGTATGTCAGCTCTCATTATCCGCGCGTTTCTAGTCTTTTTGCGATTATAAACGTCCAAACATGTGAAATGATGTTCGTCCCATGCATTACGGTGGGTGTCAAGGTCACCTGAACGTCAGGTCAGGTCATTGACCTATGATGACCTCGTGTCACTTTTCCGAGTTATACATGTTTCTAGAGCAGTTTTTCGGGCTGATTTCGAATTTAGCATCCATTTGAACATTTACGAAGTAGTTTTAGTGCCTTTGTAACGTGTTACGACGCGATCAGTGGTAGTTGAGACCTACTATGGGTAGCCGGCAGGACGCCTAATGGTTGACCTGACCTGACCTGACCCGACCTGGTCTAAATGCATGAAGACATCATATGTGATCAAAACTAGCATGAAATTCGTGATCAGCACCCCAAAAAACATGATAGCTTCGCTGTACGAAGCTCTTGTAGGTCCCGATTTTCCTGACCATTGGGTCATTGACCTGACCGGGAAGGTCAACCAATGACCTAGGACCTTAAATTGGATATCATCGGCTTCCTCTCGTCACGGGCAACACGCTCGTTTTTTTTTTGCGCAAAGCTCTAGCGCGATCTAGAGCCAAACGGCAGAGGGGTCCAACCGACCCCCCCCCCCCCCACCCACACATACACACACACGTCAGACGTTAGACGTAAGCGGAAAGTTGCGGCGTGATGGCCGTGGTTCGACCACGCTTTCGGGATGACAGAGTGGCTGTACCCATGCTGGGGCCAGGTCTCACGGCTCCGCGAAGTGGTGACGATTCGGAGCTACTCGAGGTTATGCTTTCCAGCTCCACTTTGTCGGCTGCCGCCCGCGCCTACTCCGACGTCTTGCTCCTCCTCCTCTCTTCGGCGTCATCCCCCCTCCTCTTCCTCTTTTCTTGGGAATGGAGCGCCATGCCTGCCTCTGTCATTCTATCCCGTCTCCCTGGCTCACGTTGGGCGACAAGGAAGGCGCTATTTTGAACGCTCACCCCTTGTGCTGAGTGGGAATCCTAGCCCTGGCCCAGAACTCCTCTACTTTCTCTAACGTCCGGTTGGCCGCTTCCCGGACCGTTTCCTAGAGGATGTGGTGGCGGTGGAGGAAGTAGGCGAGAGATTGGCCGCGGGATGGGAGATTGCATAGGGGGTGGGGGGGGGGAGGGGGGGGGGGTGCACCGGAGCACCGTACCCCCTTTAATTTTGTCATTTTAACATAAGCCCTATGGGCGTTGCAGGGAAAGAATGGGACCAAAAGTCGGCAGTGCCCCCCCTCCCCCTAATTGAAGGTGTTCCGCCGCTACTGGGAACTTGGAGCCAAGGGGTTCATCACTGGGGGACACCATGTACCCAGAAGTTTGCGTCGTAGACAATCGTTACACCTGAGGAAGAGGGAACGAACATTGATCGACGAAACGGACATTGAGCCAACATGGACGAACGAACGAGTGTTGAGCTAACAGTAAATAATGAAGTAGGGATCTGAAATTTTGAGTTTGACAGACATGTTTTTTCGTTAAACGGCACCGATTGAAGGGGCGCAAGATATCCAAATACGATTTTCGAAAATAAGGACCACCCTAATGTGCTGCCGTTTTCATGTACCTATTTGAAGTGAATACAACTAGACCCATGTTCCCCCCCCCCCACCCCACCCCGTCCCACCCCACCCCCAACCGCCTGGAAGGTTAAAATGTTGCTTAAGCGGCTGAACTAAACGGCGTTAAAAATACTTTTTCCTTCGCACTGTTACATTTTCATATTGAATCGTCATCGCTTTACGAGTCATCAACAGATGTTTATCGCGTTATCACTATCGAAGTCGCAATTCTCCTAGTTATAGGATCCTAGTTTCAATCCAATCCTAGTTATAGGAGTCATTGTTATCGAAGGCCGGTTAAAGATGTCAATTGTCCATCATTGGTTCGAAATCGCCCCAGTAATTACCGAGTTACTGAAATGGGAACAAATTTGGCACCTCTTCTTTTTGTATTTTGCACGTGCATTGGGGGTCACTCACATAGATCAAGGGTATCCGACCTTTGGTAGAAGGGATGCAGCTACCATATAAAAATTACCGCAAGACAATCGCTCAAGCCGCTGCTGAGATATGGGCCTCTCAAAATCATTACTTTTGCAAAACTGCTTGAACACCCTTGACTTCTCACGTGGCACGTGCCACGACGGCCGCTGAGATGTATCAAAAGTAGTCAATTACGGGGAAGAAGGGATGGGGCTACCCAGCAAAAAAGACCGCAGGCCAATCGGTTCAGCGGTTGCTGAGATATAAGCCTCTCAAAAGCGTTACAGGCCGGGCCGGCCCGGGCCGGGCCGCTCATACTGAGATTTTCCCGTTATATTCAAAAGACTTCGCTTCGCTCGCTGCGCTCGCTCGCTCGTAACAACACTATTCTATACGATTATTTACTTTACGAACGTAACGTTACGATCATTTGTCGAACGATCTTTTACAACATACGATCTTTATCTTACGATCATTTTCCTACGATCTTTTTTGTACGATCCATTGCTTAACGATCTTTTGCTTACGATCCTTGGTCGTACGATCTTTTGCGACAAACGATATTTATCTTACGATCATTTTCCTACGATCTTTTTTATACGATCAATTGCTTTACGATCTTTTGCTTACGATCTTTTTGTCGTACGATCTTTAACAACATACGATCTTTATCTTACGATCATTTTCGTACGATCTTTTGCATACGATCAATTGCTTTACGATCTTTTGCTTACGATCTTTTTACCGTACGATCTTTTACAACATACGATCTTTATCTTACGATCATTTTCGTACGATCTTTTTCCATACGATCTTTTGTCTTACGATCTTTTGTCACGTAATCAGCTTCTTTGTGACATCTGAGACCGAGTGTGAATCACGGTGAGATATGTTAAGTTGTTACTCACTGTGGGTGTCTCAAAAATGAGGATAGGCGACGTGGTCTTACAAATTACTAACGGAAGAGAGAGAGAGAGAGAGAGAGAGAGAGAGAGAGAGAGAGAGAGAGAGAGAG